TATTCTTTTAGGAAAAATACTTTGGTGCACATTTTCAAAATGTGTGTACCATATGCACTGTATAATTAAAAGAAAAATAACACAACTTTAATTTTTTAATTTATAACTAAAAAAAAAATCATAACTAAAGACAACATGTCACAACTCAAAAAACTCGATGATCATAATTAAAATAAATGTCATAACTAAAGAATAAAAAAAAAAAATAACATAATTAAATGTGCATATAGTATATATTTTTTAAAAGGATGTATATTAAATATTTCCCCTTCTTTAGTCTAAAAAGATTTAGTTTGAGCTTAGTCCAAGAGATTCAGAGATAAATTTCAGACTTGGGTGCCAATATATATTTTTTAACTAATTTTAAATTTATAATTAAATTCCCTCCCAACAGTAAACAAAATCTCGTAAAAACTTATTTAACTGTAGATTTGACCATGAGTGGATCTTACCATGTTATTTTTGTGGATATCATTTAGATAATAAAGTTTGGCTGGGCTTCCTTCAGTTTTGTGATCAGATTAGAGAGTATTGCTAGGCTTGGTGGGGCCTACTACGAGTCCCGTTTTTGATAATTCAAATCGTTTTAATATGTAAAACTCGTCATTGGGATAATCGTAGCTATTTATCGGCATCAAATTCTATCAATCGTTTATTTTTTCATTGTCCATTTTTTTTAAATAAAAAAACTGATTTGATCATGTAAGTTATCGATATCGATCAAAGTATTATTTACAGACTATAGTACTCGACGAGTTCTACACATAAACGGTTCAAATTATTGAAACAGGATACGTGGTAGACCTCCACGGACCCAACAGTATCAGACTGGAGGGAAGCCAGACACATAAAGTTTTATTTCTTCATGTTATGATTGCGAGCAGCACTAGTTTGCGCCTTATTTGCCGCTTTATAAGTTTTGTTTTGAAATTTGTGGCGAGTGTGCTCTTTGGATGCATTTATTTCACGTCGGTGGCTCTGGTTTATGAGCCAGATTTATCTCAATTTAAATTCAAAGAAGGGATCCATCATCGGGGGTAAGCCAGAGAATATATAAACTTGCATTACAGGAGACAGAAATCTTGAGCGGAACATAGTACAGTCAGGTTCACCAAATAAATGGGACACTAGTTGTGCCCACAAATCGAGCTGCTCACCACCACCTGGTGGTGGTGGTGAGTGTGTTTGATTATTGAAAAGTTAAAATGTTTTTGTATATTTTAAATTAAGGAAATCATCGAAATTTGTGAGTTTGACAAAATATAGAAATTAACTTTTAAGATTATCATCTTAAATACAAAATTTTGCATTTGTACAATGTTTCAGTACTGATTAATTTTTTGCAGAGATGTTTTAATGGCAGTACTCAAAACAAGTCACAAGTTAGGCTGTTGTTTGTTGGAGTTACTCTCAGATGCGCTTGGGTTGAGTCCAAACCACCTCAAGAACATGGTTGCGCCGTCGGGCTCACCGTACTGTGCCACTACTACCCAGCATGCCCTCAGCCGGAGCTCACTGTCGGCACCACCAACACTCTGTACGACTTCCTCACTGTGCTGCTGCAGGATCACATTGGAGGCCTCCAAGTTCTTCACCAAGGTCACTGGGTTGATGTCCCTCCTACCCCTGGAGCTCTTGTGGTCAATATTGGAGATCTCCTCACAGGCAAGTCTCTCATTCATTAACCATCTTTGTTTCAACCATAGTCCTTTATTGTCAATTAGGATCTGTCATCAAAAATTCAATCTCAGTGTACTTTTAATCACATAATGTGACAAGAATTCAAGAGCAGATGAATATCATGCATGATCTAAAAAGAGCTTCTAAAACCCTCCGATCACTTCACTCAAATTTGGTGGATTTAAGTTCCTCATACAAATGTCTAGGCATTATAGAATTTGAAATAATTTGATCTCAAGTTGCATTGTAGTTGAAATTCAGTTCGCTGTGTTTGGTTGGGAGATATTGAGAATGGCATTTAGAAAGAGAAGAGAAAAATATAGGTAAAATATTAAATAAAATATATCTATACTTCAATTATTTGACCAAGAGGACACCTATCGGTTAAAAACTTGCCTCAACGTCTATTCAAATATCTCACTCTTTGTACACAATGTTATCCATTTGTGCAATTATCTATTCAAATATGTCATTATCTGTAAAGATGTCACTTATCTATTCACCTATCTGAAATCGACCACTACCACTAGTTGCTGACCACTGTCCACTAATTGCTGACGACTTTTCTATCTAAATTTTCACAACTTTTCAACGCATATCCTTCTCGCCAAATAAGTTTAATCATTAGACTTAATGCTTAACGCACCTCTCTACTTGAATTTAATATATTCAAATAAAATAATGAATGTTTTTTTTTTTCACGAACCTAATTGTTGAAAACTCAACCAAACATATATTCATAACATACCTGCAAGGAGGGGGCAATTCCTCTGGATTTGGGGGTTTAGGAGCCATACTACAACAGAAAGTGTCCCTCCAATTAGCAGTTGGTGCACTAAACAAATCAAAATTACAATTATACACCACAGCTTTCTTCACATCTCTAGTATACCACTCTTTTCTCACCTCACTGTCCTGCTCATGAAACCTGTGAACACCTTGCTTCATCTCCTCTAACACACTCTCTGGAACACCAGGGTTCACCACCTAGAAGAACCCCCAATTCTCCGCAGCCTCGCGGATTTCATCGATGACCTCCCTCTGCCGGATCGGATCTTTGTTGATGACAGTAAGGTCTATGATTGGAAAATTGAACTAGGTATTGCTTGGATTAGTGGTTTTGTTGAGATTGTCTGGTGGTTGAATGAAAATTTTTGGGACTCCGGCAATCCCAGCATCAACAAGTCCTTTGACACCAGTTTTGGTGTCACCAAAAGCCTTTAGCTCTTGTGCTCTGTCATAGTTTGTTTCCATGTCTGCCTGGATTGAAGTTTTGGTAGTGGCAACCATTGATTTTATGAGATGACTCTACAGAGTGAATTTTTGGGATATAATTTAGAGAAGAGTTAGGGATCATGAAAATTCTTTCATGAAAATGATCATGAAAGAGTTATGATTCTTGGATTATCTTAATTAGTGTGTGGTGTTTTATTCTAAGTGTAATCCAATGGTCACAAAGCTTTCATGATTATTTTCATGAAAGATTTTTCATGATACCTAGCATTGCTGTATGATTTAGGCGAGAATGAATGCTAATGAAGAGGGGAGAAAAGTATTGTTCATGTATACATATATGTAAGGCACACGCAGGGACAGACTAAGATTTGATCATTGGGGGGCAGAAAATAAATAAATAAATAAAGATGTGAAGACAAGTAGGGTTGAATTTAAGGGCAATGGATTTTCATGCAATTAACACTTTGTGATTTTTCATACTATTAATTGGAAATGGATAAACTTTGTTAAATATTTGATATAATAGTAATATCACTAATCAATAAAAGTTCTTATATTACGGTCGTGAGAATTAATAATTGGCTTATTGAGAGACAAAAATTGTCTATCTAATTTTATTAATCATTTTTTATCGGCTGAGATACTACTATTCTCATTTAAGCCTTTCACGTTTTATAAAGTGAATAATATAATTGCAAATATATTTTAAAATATAATATGTTAGGGAGTTGTTATGATGTGCACTCTTAATGTGCATTATCACAATATATGTAACATAACCATAACAAATTATAATTTTTTTCACCCAATAGTTTGTAACAGTTTGCACCACAATGGTTGTAACATTTATGCTATACCATCCATAATATAACTACAATAATTCGTAACTTTCACTTTAGAGATGCCACTATAAATTCAACTTTACCACAAAATAATAATACAAATATTTTAACTTTCATTGCAAAAATTTATATAGCATTCTTCTATTATATTATAAAGAGATGTTAAAAAAATTAAAAACATGAGAATTAAATGGGAGGAAGGCCCACGTAGGAGAAGAAGTTGATGGTGTAATTTTAATATACATCCTTTTAAAAAATATATACTATATGCACATTTAATTATGTTATTTTTTTTTATTTTCTTCTTTAGTTATGACATTATTTTAATTATGACTCATGAGTTTTTGAGTTGTGACATGTTGTCTTTAGTTATGATTTTTTTTTTTTAGTTATAATTAAAAAAATTAAAGTTGGGTTATTTTCTTTATCTGATTCCTAGATAGTAGCAATATCCCTTCATATTTCTTTCCAGTTTTATATTTCCAGTTCTTTACATTTCAGCATTTCAATTCATGTACTGCACTTCATTTCTTAGGAGTAGTCTCAAGTAGTCATTGTTGTAAACCTTCTCAAGGTTGGGTCATTTCATTTTAAATTCTTATTTACTCAATGAAATGCAATTTCTGAATTGTTCTGTACTTGTGATTTCTTATAAATTGCTTCTGAAATAAACCACCAACAAAAGTCCTCTTCATTGAACCTGAAAGAACTTCAACACAATCATCTGATAAATGATTGGCAATTAAAATTCTGTAAGAACTGATTGATCCTTGCCGACACGCTCCAAATTACATTATTAACCTTCGAAAGACAAAAATGCTAACATTACCATATCATTTTGGGTGAATTTATGAGTCTTTAACATTTCTTCCGAATTTATAATAAAAAAATTATGGCGTGTAACTTTTCTGAACAAATAAATATAAAAAAAATACTAAAATAACAAATAAATATAAAACAAATACTAAGATAATTCGCTCATATGAAAAAAAAATACTAAAATAATTCATTGAACTAATAAATAAGTAAAAGAAAATACATATATATATATATATATATATAGATAACTAATTTTATTAATACATAAATCATACTCACATGACCAATGACCAATTTTATTAATAAGTATATCATTAAGGAAATAAATTAACATTTTTTAATGATATGAAAAATATTTTTCAGTTAACCATTTTGTTAATAAATAAATCATTAAACCAATTAATAGTTTTTAATGATATGAGTAATAATTTTCAATAAACAATTTTGATACTTTATTATTGTATAGAAGAATTGATTTTTTTTTTCCCTGAGTATTGTGTTAAATGAAAATTTATAACAAATGGTAGTTGTAATTTCTAATATTATAGAACCAATTCTTGTTTTAAACAAACATTATGGGTGTATTTGTAATTTGTTCAAAATTAATTTTTTTTCCCTGAGTATTGTGTTAAATGAAAATTCATAACAAATGGTAGTTGTAATTTCTAATATTATAGGACCAATTCTTATTTTAAACAAACATTATGGGTGTATTTGTAATTTGTTAAAAATTAAGATATTTATGTTTCATAATTGACCATGAATGTTTGTGTAATTACAAAAAAACTTATTTCATGATTGATCAAGAATGTTCGTATTATTACTGAAAAAAACGGTTGCATAATTAACCAAGAATATTTACGTAATTACGAAAAAATCTTCCTTCAACATATAGGCCACCATTAATAAATTATTTAAAATGAAATAGCAAAATCGAAAAAAGAAAAAGAACCTCAAACAACTAAGCCATTCTTATATATATAGATATAGATATAGATATAGATGTTATTCGCTCAATAAAAAATTCAAAGTGTGGATTATATTTATTTGAATAAATTATACTAGCCGTTTGTAAAGTTTTCAAAAACAATATAAAATAAATTTTATAAATTTGATATAATTATATTAATTTTGTAAATACAAAAATAAAAAAGAATAAAATATATATTTTAATATAAAAATAATCATAATCAGCTTGTTTAGTTTAAATTTTTAGTATTCACTTTTTAGAAAATTCAAATTTTTTTTTACTGAATTTTTTTAATATTCTAATTTTTAGTATTCACTTTTTAGAAAATTCAAATTTTTTTTTACTGAATTTTTTTAATATTCTAAGTAATTTTTTTTTAATTTTTAAATACACCTAACATAAATACACTTAAAAAGTATGATATTTGTAAAAAAAAATCTTTAGAAAATTCACTAAACACCAAAAATACAATATATATATATATATCATAACATATAAATTTTAATACATTTTTTATATTCTTGTATATTTATTAATTTTTTAAAATATTTTTTAACAAATATTTATTTTTTAGATATATCTAAATAAGGTGCATCTAAAAAAGTAAAAATATTACTAAAATTTTAAAATATCCACTAAAAATTATAAATAAAAAGAAAAAAAAACACCACACACACAAAATCTCAATTTTCAAAAAAATTGAATTCAAAAAATTAAACCAAACCTGCAAAATATAATTCAATCATTATTGCCCTGTGGAAACTTCCCTATACTGCTATCAATGTTTTCATGTCACACGATTCACCATCGGTCTCATTTGATGATCATTAATTCGTTTTTTTGAACCTTATATACGTATATATATAATTATAAATTTTTCATATTTATTTAATGAAGGTTTTTAAAACCATACCTATTATTTATTTATTTATTTTAAGATAAATTTCATTTTCAAGAGGTCCACATTAGTAACGGTCAATAGACTTTTTTAATTTAACTTTTTGGTTAATATAATAATAGTAATCACAAATTTTTCACATCTGCACATCGCAAACAAGACACAATGAGGGAAGGCCAACCCCTCCTATTTGGACCTCAAAACATACATTCAACCACTGAAATTCCCCTGGAATTCAGTGGTTAAAAGGCCAAAAACAAGTTGTTTCAAAAGCTTTAAAAGAGGCACAAAAGGCTTCACAAGCAATGAGCAAAAGATGAGACAACCTCCCTTAACTCAACAAGGCTTAAACCATCATTTTAAAACCTAAAAACATAAGTTTTTTATGGTTGAAAAACCATGTCAAAGCAGTGTAAAAATATGGCCAAGCAACCAACTAAAACAAAGCTTAAAAGAGGTTAGCTTTTACCTTTGAAGCATAGCAACAAACAACCAAAATTCTGAGCTACAATCAACCTTAAAAGCTCAAACAAAGCCTCCAAGACCCTTAACTCCAAGATAAAGGTGTTTGGTCAAGAGGTTTAATGCAAATATGTACGAGAATTCCC